GTTAGGATATAATGCATTCTGTTTTAGATCTTACTGGATGTTTCCCCCTCAATTTTATTTCTGATAAATCAACAGAGGAGGGAAAAACCCTGGTTAACATGACTATTCAGTAGAGATCAGCTACTGGTGAGCCAAACCCAGCCTCCACCTCTGATGCCATCTCCCCCTCCCACAGGGCTCGTTGGGGTGGATAGATGGATGTGGATGAGCAGCTTCTATGGCAGTGGGCTTGGCAACGAGTCAGTGGGCGGGCATCAAGCATTAGTCTGCAACTTGAGAGCTTCTGAAGTTGCTAATGTGTTCAGCAGAATGCTTTAAAATCAGTCATGGTTTCCATTCGTTCTTTATAACATAACCTATTTTGACAGAGTCTCAGCAGTTCAGTTTGTTTTAATTTAAAGTAGTTGCATAGTTTTATGAAACTGTAAATGTTTCAGTAAGTATTACTCATTTCATTTTCCTGAGGAACTGCTTTTTGGAAACCTTTCCCCTGTGGTGCAAAATATAGCAACAATATAATTTCTTTCTTCTCCAGGCATTGCAGTCTTTACAGCCAGTGGATGTGAAAGATTACCCAGCTATGGTATTAAAACTTGTTGCACTTGCCTGGGTGGCAAGAATCTGGGCAGAGGGATGATGATTTTGACAGTGGCTGGGGGGATAGCACCAAGCTTTGGAAAGTTGCAGTATTCTGTCAAGTAATTAAAATTTTCACACTTGGTTTAGCTTTAAAATGTAATTAACATAAAGATCCTGTTTTGTAGTAATAATCGGGCTCCATTGCAGTAATGTGTGCTATGTGCTATAGGCATTTATACGGAGGTTGTTTATAAAACCAACCACCCTGACCATTGGTACCTTGGCAGTCATCAGTCTCTCTAACTGTAACAAACATGCACATGATCCCAGTTTCAGATTTTTTGTAGCCAGTGTTTGACATTACATAATACATCAAATATGACAGATGATGTTTACCACCTATGCAGCAGTGAAGCTGTGCAAATTGCCATACAGAACGTCCTGATGTAGCTGTGAGATTTGTTCCACAGCCCTCCAGGTCACTTTTGTACAGCCCTTGGTCTCTGTTATAATGTTGTCTCTCTCTCTGGCGCTCATAGGTAGGTACTTGAAAACATGAGGGCAAAAATATGGTAGATTTTGAAAAACAAGTGTTAAATGAGCTCTCCTTCCTTTTTTAATCACTAGATATTCTCTCAAAGGCACTACTTGTGTCTCTATTTTTTTTTGGGGGGGGGGGGCAATTATTTTATGACCTAAACAAAAATTCCAAGATGTTTGCTATCTAATTTTACATGAACATGCAATAAACATATCAGCCTTGGCCTTCGATAATTCTAATCATGATAAACCTCCCCAATATTTTAAATGGAAGTTGGTTATGGAGGAAATGGACTCTTAAAGTACAGTAATCTTTTAATAACCGACATTGGCATGTGGTAACTTTTGAAGAATGCTATTTAAAATTTGTTGCAGTATGAGAGAGCAGCCCATAACTATAAGGAAGTAACGGAGTTCAAATTAACATGGTCATTTCCTTAAACTACGTTTATAAGGAAAATGACTATAATTGTACAATATTACACTTCAATAAAATATTTGTTTAATTTGATAGTCTTTTTTTAAAAGTCTGAGTTCCTGGGTGAATGTTTCCTTACAACAGAATACTGCTTCTTTATGAATGTAATAGCACCATTCATCTTCAATTGTGTTAATTGTTCCACTAGCAGGGGAAAAAGTAATGTCAATCACACATTTGCAAATTGCCTCTCTCCTTTCATTTCCCATGGATTAAGATTTCTTCCTGATAATTTTATTCATGAATAAAGAACTTTTGAAAAGATAGCATGTGTTCTAGTTCTTTTGAGCTGTGTCTGTGACACATGGGGAAAGTAGTATATTGGACTGTTTCCAAGAGGAGTAGACTGAAACTCCCAACCCTATTCTGATAGTTCTCCTGATCGTTGTAAGAGAGAAATGAAGGATGATGTGGAAATGGCAAAACAGATACTGTTATAACAGAGTGTACGCCCTTAGCTTCCAAAAGTAAACAGAAGGGAATCTACTCCTCACTATCTTGGTGTAATTGGCATTTAGCGATCTAGTAATTTTTAAAAATAAAATAACAGCTTAAACTCCAGCTATGATGAAAATTGCGTCAAAGGTGAACCATTGCTTTTTACAATTTTGTTTGCCCTTAATGAGCACAGTCTTCAAACACTCAGCTTGAAAGAAAAGAAAGCCTTTTATGATGTGAATACAATTATACTCAAGTAGTGCTATATGCTGAGTAACAGCATAACAGTTTTAGTAATGCTTGTTTTTATGCTCATTCAGTATTTGAAAAGATGATACTGCAGTTTTCTGAGCAGAAAGTTCTAGGGCTGAGTGCAGTTGAGGGTGAAATATTTCATGTATGCTGTTTTCACATGCCTGATTTAAAGATACTTCTTACTTGGAGCGATCAGTTCATTCCTATTTAATGGTTTAGTCATGTCTGTAGTTCTACATACTTCATTGCGTGATTGAATGTGGGATAAGTTCCTTAGTTTGGGAGCGGCTTATTTTAATGGGAGGGGATTTTCTTTTCAGGTAGGGCTGTTTTTGCTAGATCAGAGAGAATTAATGGCGTTTTTGAAAGAAATGGATTTCAAACAGCCCTTGTTCCCCTGCTTCCTGTCGGTCCTCTTATTCTTCCCTTCTTAGGTTCAAATGTATGCATTGCTCACCTTTTCAAGGTAAGCAGTAAACTCATATGTGGTTATTCCAAATAATTTCCCTAATCACTTGCCAATCTTAACTAACTCTAAGGATACTTTTAACTTTTGGTGTTGGTGCAGAAGGAATTTTTGTTTGGTGCTGATGTCTTATTTAAGTATGAATCTCAAACTTCTACAGTGGGATTTTGGGACGATCTGATATGCAGTTTCCCTCTTTATCCTTCAGGTATTTCACGGCCAAGATCAGATAGTGCTCCACCCACACCAGTCAATAGACTGAGCATGCCCCAGACTGCTGCTGTCAACACAACTCCACCTCACAATCGAAGGCATCGAGCTGTAACTGTGAATAAGACAATGAAAAATAGCACAGTAAGTCTTTATGCTTAGTATAATAACAAAGATTGGCTGTTTCACATGGTGCTGGTAATGAATTAATAAAAGAACACCACTTGGCAAAAAATAACTTACAAGCAAATAAGCAAGTGTATAATGATCAAATAAGCATAACAGCAAGTATAATGTAAATCAAATAAGCATAACAACAAATTTTCTGATGATTGGCACTCCAGTTTGGACTTTGATATTGCCTCTATGCTGGAGAAGACTGTGACTGATTTATCATTGCACTTTGGCTTATTGATTTATATCATACTTGTTGTTATTTTTTGCCAAGTGGTGTTCTTTTTTTTGGTTCTTGCATTGTACACTGGCTTCCCCCCCCTTTTTTTGGTTGGTAATGAATTAATAGCATCTGCTATGACAGAGTTAAGTGACTTTATCTTATTCTCTTTTGTTCAAATAGGGTAGCACGGCTCATTCTTCCAAAGTTCAACACCAGCCATCCTCTACTTCTCCACTGTCTAGCCCAAACCAGACTGGTTCTGAGCCTCGACCGCTCCCTGCTCCCCACAGGCCAAAGGTTAACAGCATCTTGAACCTCTTTGGATCGTGGTTATTTGACGCAGCATTTGTTCACTGTAAACTTCATAATGGAATGAACAGAGATAGCAGTATGACTGGTAAATACTACTTTATCGAATCGGCATATTCCCTTCCATGTTTTGCTGACATTTCCTACCTGCAAGATTAACATGTCTGGCTAACCAAAACCCAAATCTGATAGAGCAGCATGATTAACTGATATAAAATCGTATTAGACGTTCTAATTATAGCATTTGGCTTTTATTTAGAAAATAAGGAGGCATTTATCAAAGGCTGATTTTTGAGTTTGGGTTAAATGTAAACTAATTCTTCCCAGCATCTTGACTTGGAGCATGGTGTATAGCTGAGGAAAGTGCTACATGTTGCCTGAATTTCTTTAAGAAACTTGATTGCAGTTTTCATGAAGGCCTAGAACTATAGAATTTGTGCCTTTTCAGCGGTTAGTCAAATTTTTTAACTTCAAAGGTTCTGTAAACTTGTGGCTTTCAATCTTCCTAACTGCTACACCAATTTTCTTTTTATTTTCTTTTTCTCATTGTTTTCCTGGTTTCCATATTCAGACTTACAAGACGTGATAGAAATAATGTTCTGTCCAGAATAAATGAATTCATTGCAGCAAGTGGATTGCATTGTATTAACAAGAGACAGTAAGGCTTGTCATCACAGATGTATTATACCAAAATTGATTTCATGGCTGATGAGCCAAGAAGTTTTATCAGAATAAAAATATTATAATAATTTATTTATTTAATTCAATTTTATACCCCGCCCTCCCCACCAAGGCGGGCTCAGGGCGGCTTACACAACACATAAAATTACATTTAAAATCCATCATAAAACATAAAACTCATTATAACTAATCAAACCAAAAACCGATCAGTTATCCTAAAATGCACAAATCATTTTCCTAAAGTGCTGGTACAGTTGTCAAATAAAGTGCATGAGCAGAAATTTCAGATTAAACCATAGTCCACGGGTGACAGTCATAATGATGTTCCCACACGCTCTGTTGGTCTACATTTACCTAGCAAGGCGGGCTAGAGATGGTAAAGCCAGGGCACAGGGTCTCTTCTCAGATGTCACACGCGGCTCCTCATTGAAAGCCTGGTGGCTCTGTCTTGCAGGCCCTGCGGAACTGTAAAAGGTCCCGCAGGGCCCTGATCTCTTCCGGGAGCTCATTCCACCAGTGTGGAGCCGCTACTGAGAAGGACCTGGCCCTGGTTTTCGCCAACCTGGCGTCTTTGGGACCTGGGAGGGCCAGCCAGTTTTGGGTCCCTGAACGCAGTGCTCTCTGAGGAACATATGGGGAAAGGCGGTTCCTTAGGTATGCTTGGGAGAGTTGTAATTGATTAGCTGTATGTCTGGCTAATTAGTGTAACTTTATATTACAGGTAGTTTGTTCCTACACATATAGACAATGGCATATGTAGGCTCAAGAGATTTCTTTGTAGAGAATGATTTTTCACCCAAATATCTTGGTTATTTTTTCAGTAACTAAAGCAAAATCACATACATTATATCTTATAAAATGGTCTGTTCAGCCACAAGGATTCAATAGCAGTCTATAACTCTATGAATGACAGGTTCTTAGATTGGACCAAAACCACATTTGAAATGTCACAGGTATATCCCTTTGTTTCTTTTGGGGGTGGAAATTGAGGAAAGACAATGTTTAATTCTGTTACAAAAATGCCAAATTGGAATGCTCATGTGAGCATTACTTTAGGTCAACTTCAATAATTTACTTCACTGGTTTTATTGAAAACTTAAAAACCTTTAGGGAGGTACCTTACAAGAGTGATACAAGCTTATGATCTCTTTTCTATGTAGGGCGTATTTATTTGCTTCAGTAACTACATTTCTAACTAAAGTGATATAAGACAGCATACAGTTTCTGGTTCAGACATATTTCTTGTTTTCTTTAATTAATATAGGCCATGTTGCTGTAAATTCATACCAACATTGTAAAATATTTTTCAGTACTTTTAAGTTCTTCCTAAGAAATAACTGGTTGTCAGCCCCCTCCCCCCAATTCCTGGTGAGGTATTACAACAGTTGGAATTTTTCCCCCCCCCCCCCCCCCAATTCCTGGTGAGGTATTATAACAGCTGGAATATTTACTCATATTGAGCCATATGATATCAAAGGGTTCCCTAGTTTGTTGTGGATTCCTTGGGAATCATCATTGTGTTACAAAATGCATATGGAATGTTTGGCAAATGTAAATGAACTATTCCTCCTCTTTCTCTGATGCTTACCTCCACATTGTAATCCAATATCCCCTTTGCTTGTGCTTTGTACTTCTAATGTTCCTTTCCCAACAAAGACAGAATAATTAGTGAAATAGTGATCAAAGGGGAGAGCCATAACCTTTCAGGATGGTATTCTAAAGGACTACTGTCCATCCTTATCCAAAAAATTCCTGCAATTTTTGATTAACTTTACTACCTCAGAAGCGATTGGAAGCTTTCTGATAGGTTGCATTTGAGACAGGTTCCCAGACAAATCATATAACAAATGGTCCATGTGAGTTTTAGGGGATGCTGCTAGTATGATTTTGCTTGTCTTTTGGAATTCTGGTGTCCCCTTTTTGCTTCATATGTTTGTACTCTATGTTGAGCTACATAGTATGTTATAGGCATTGGCATCACTCGTTTCTCTCTTTGAACCGGGATGTCCATTTGTTGAAATGATTTCACTTTATTAAAAGAACTGTAATTTGTTTTCGCAGCATTTTAGTGGGAAATATGGATAAATTATATAGGTAGCCTAGTATATCTTCACATTGCAGGTTTACCAGTTTGAACATTTGCTTTGACACTTGGCTTTTTGTGAAGAAAAATATAAGTCTTAGAGTAGCCATCTGTCTTGCTTCAAAGAACCTCCATCTGCAATTTAAAAAGTAGATCAGCTTTTGTTGGCTGAAAATCCCTTCCTTTTCACCATTACCTGAGGGTGGGTTTTTTTGCTATGCTACCGTACATCCATATGGCACATTCAGCTATCATCAAATAAAAAGTAGGCAATTTCCCTAAATATAAATCATAGGGGGCCCTTTGTACCTTTCTACTATCTTTCAATAAAAAAACCCTTTGTGGTAGTACGCACACCCACCCACACACACACCACCAGTTACAGCCACAGATTACAGAACCGTTGAAGGAAGGCCAGTATCCTTGAACTGGTCTTATTCATAGGCGAGCAGTTCTTTAGTAGCAGAAAGTAGAGACCAGTTCACGTGTTATTTTTGCACTTTGGTTTGCTGTGGAGATGGGCCATGTGAAAGCCAACCAGATGAGAAGCTCTGTGAAGAAGCTTCCATGTGGGTGGATGTGTTAGTGCCACATGAATGGCTACCCTGACAGTGGCTATACTTGCCAGTGAAGCAGAGAAAGGGGGGGGGGGACTTGACCCAACAAAAATGAATCAGGTACCTGAAAGGTAAGTTAGAAAGCAAAAGTGGGGCCAAAATCTAAAATGAAATATGAACTAAACTATTACGAAGACATTTAAAAACATATCAGGGCCCAACACAAGCCTCAAAATATAGTAAAAAGTAACATGTGTCCAAGAGAAAACAATATACTTGCCAATGAGCCAGGTGGGAACTGCTTTTCCTGCCATTTTTCCTGTGATTTGACAGCTTTATGGTTTTGGGCCTCTACAGTGACCTCACCAAATCAACATTAACTTTTATTGAAAATAAGCAAGCCCTCCATATTCCTGCATAACTATCCATTTTTCATGTTTGCAGAAGCTTGACTGTATAATGTGAAAACATCTTCCAGTGTGCTGACTAGGGCCAAACAAGCTGCTTAACTACCTTTTCACATAAATAGCGACAGCTCTCTGCCCACCTCCTCTTTGGAGGCTTGTTAGTTTCCAAGATTGCTTGCATTCTTCCAGTTTTCCTTCTGTGAGAAGTATGGCTAAATTCTTGAACAAGAATTCTGTCAACAACTGTTCTATTTTTGTTCTGCACTTTTTTGTACTGGGGAAGGAGTTTGGCTTAGTAAAAGCCCTTTTCTTTCCTTTGTTAACACTGGCAAATAACCAGTTCTGAGGACAGATTGACCAGTGTGTGACAGTGAACAAGGTATATACATTCTATCTCTCTAGTCCAGCTAGAATAGATTTTCAGCTTTTGGTACATGAAATATAAGCTAAGTAGTGCCTGAATTGAGAAAGGATAACACTTCTGCTGCAAGTCTGAATGTACATTAATATACAAGCCTAACCCTGTGGCAGTATACTACTGAAACCTTTGCTATTCATTGTTCTGCATGATGCTTTTAAAATTATAGTTTTGGGCCCTAACGCCAATTTCCTGTGTGTGTTAACAAGCCTGCTATATCACAAGCTTTTCATCTGTTTTTCAAAAACCTAAGATCAACTTAACTGGTATTAGAGTTTCACCATCTTTAAAGTATTTTATAACTACTGCTGTCCTTTGATTTGTTTCCATTTTATTTCTATTATCTTGCAGCATCTTTTATCCAAATTCTTCTTTCTTATAAATCTTGTAAGTAGGAACTAGTAGCTTCTGTTTAATTGCGGTCATTTTTTAATTTATTTTTCCATAATCCCATTTTTAAGTTTGTATCATCTTCATCATCCCTTGTAGCTTTTGCTCTTTACATGGGAAAAACCAGTAACTGTGTGTGGCTTTTTTAAATGGGGAAGATTGTTGGCAAAAGCAAATTAATATGCCTGAATTAGTCCCATCATTTTCTGTACTCTAGTCTGTGATCATGTCATGAATTTAAGGACTTTGCACTAACCGTGTTTTTTTCTTAAAGCTTATTTTATACAGACCTAGTGTTTTGATTTGTATGCATTTTGCATGTAGTGTTTTTTTTTTTCCTTTCTAATTATTTTATTTTGCTGGATAGCTTATTCAGGACAAAAATGGCTCATGGGAAAACGCATAAAGATTTAGGTTTATTTGCTTATTTAATAAAATCCAAGAAGAAATTTTAAAAGCTTAATGAAATCTGCCACTTGGTCTAAATTGTTGATACAACAAATTTGTAACTAACATTAAAAACTTGAGCACAGCTTCTGTTTGTAAGACTACAGCGAAGACTGCAATCCTATGCACACTTAGTATGGGGGATAAGTCTCACTGAACTCAGGGTTACTTGCTTCTGAGTAATTGTGTTTAGGTTAGGAAGGGCCTTTCCTCAGAAAGCTGTTGGGTAAGAAACTATATCTAAATTATAAATTAGGAATAATAAACCAATAGCCTTTCCTAGAAATATCAAAGCACATAGCTGTTCCAGTCATTAGAAACTGGGCAAACCTCTAGGGAAACTACATTTGTTGCCCAGTCTCTCTTGCTTGTTGGCAGTGGTTGCCCAGAAGGAATGCAGTGACGGCAGTTGTTGTGCAAGGCATTGACATGAACAACGTTTTTATAAATACATGCTTGACTGCAGTAGAAGAGCATATAAACAGAGAAAAGAAGAGCAGCCAATCCTGCTTAGCCCTTTGGTGTACTTTTTAATGACTGCTTGGCACTGGGCAATAATTATTTGATCCTGCTCTTAGTCTACAGCACCAGTGAGATGCAGGCGGCATACATGCAGGTGTCTTCAACCTTGCTGCAAGACTTGCCCTTATCTTTAGTGCCCCTCCAAAAACCCTCTTCAGAAAGCTATAGATTTTTAAAGCAAACTTCACTGGAGCTCAGGAAACAGCTGCCTCAAGGGACATCCTTGAGGTATGTAGGGTGTGAGCATGTGTTATAGGTCCTGGCACACATTCCTAATAGGCATTAGCTGCTTGTTGGTAATGGTCCTTGAAGCAATGTGTGGGGAAATTGTAGCTCTCTAACAGCAAGCTCAAACAACTCAGTATTTGCTACTTTTTCAAAGCACACTTTTGTTATTGTCATCTGGCATCCGTCTCACAAAATTATAGGCCTAGTTTCAGCAGTGCGGAGAGTACTAGAGCAGTTTCCCAATGATGACAAAAGGCGAACAGAGTCCGTGGGGAAAAGTGGAGTGCCTTGTGCCACTGTAAGGGTTTGAACCAGTTTTTTGTCATTACAGTGTAGGTAACTGAGGAAATGAGTGACACAGTTATGGAGAAATTGCAGGGGTTATGTTGTTGTTTGTGGCTGATGGAAGTAGAACAGAGGCTTTGGGGCTTGGATGGCATGCATTGTGCAGCCTAGAATGCTAAGGGAGACGGTGTGCGTAGCGTAAAAAAAAAAGCGCTGATTCTTCCCTACACACTTTATAAACAGAGGCAGCAATTCAAATGTAATGAACTGACAGCTTTTTATGATGACTAAATTTTACTTGATCTTTGTGTCCAGGATCCCATGAGCCTACTGAGTATGTTGACAAATGTAATGAAACTCTGTGCTTTCTGTTTCATTTTAGCTATAGCAACGCAAGCGAGCGTGGAGTTCCGGCGGAAAGGGTCGCAAATGTCTGCAGACACCATGGCTTCCAATCCCATGTTTGATGCAGGTGAATTTCCGGACAACTATGAAGCAGGCAGAGCAGAGGCGTGTGGAACACTTTGTAGGATATTTTGTAGCAAGAAGACTGGGGAGGATATACTGCCAGCCTACTTATCTCGGTACTGACTTAACTTTAAATTCTGCTCTTGTCAGAGTATTCTGTTGAGTATATGCAGTTTGTCTAAGACAGGTTTTTGCAGTTCCTGAAAAGACTCTTTGTGCCTAGCAAGTCATTTTAGAATAAATGAAATTACATTCCATTAGTCTGGATTTCCGAAACAAGCTGCTATCTCTGCCATACAGACAAAGCTGTCACGTGAGTGGGTAGAAGTTTGCATTACTGTTTCCCATGTTTTGCCAGGAGATGTAGCATAGTGTATTACTGCTTTGTGTTGTTTTCCCCCTTAAACAGCGTGGGAGGGCATTGGTGTGTTTCATGGAGGGAAAATGGAACTGGTACTAGTATTTACTTATGCTATACCTAAACAAGCTATTAAACATTGGAAGTGTGTGTGTGTTTATGGAAAGAGCTAATACAGAAGCACACAAGCCATTTTTCCTGTAACATGATAACACTTGTAAGAGATAACATTTCACTGAACAGTCAATGCATATAATACTCTTGATATGAATTATGCAAATTCTGAAGCAGAAATGCATGTGAAGTGGGCTTTGGCTCACAAAAGCTTATGCTACAGTACATGTTTTAGCCTTTAAGGTGCCACAAGATTATTTTTTTTTAATTAGGAGAAGCTAATTTTAACAAGAAGAGCAGTTCTTCTACTTACGGCACATAATTTCACTTATGTTTCCTTATGTCAAATCAAACACTAAACCTTTTGTTTATTGTTATGAATTGACAGCCCTCCTCAACTACCATGCCTGTTATCTAAGCCAATGCATGTGTGCATTTTAATTTTAGCTTTAATAAAAAGATGGCTTGGCAGTAGCCTCCTTAATTATGAACCTGTTGTACCTTTTGCCATGCAAATAAATAGTGTTTTCCTTTATGTTTGAAGAGTTTAAAGCTATTAACTAATTCTGTTTTCAGAGGTTTCCATATATCTCCTGGGCCATGGTTGATACTTTCGTCTAGCATAATTAATAAAAAAAATTCTGCAGAGTTGAAAATGCCCATGTTGCTTGGTCTGTGTAGCATCTTGGTTAAACAGATGAGATAGCTCATAATTTGTAGGCCCAAATGCAGATGCTCAAATTCTCTTGTTTTGCATGTGACCCAGCCCCAGTAATATTGGATTGCAAATGTTTGTTTCTTACAACTCATTAAGCCTGTCTTTCTCTGCCAGATTTTACATGCTTTTAATTCAGGGTTTGCAGATTGCGGATTCTGTTTGCCATCCAGTTCTGGCTAGTAGTAGTCTAAACTCCCCTGCATTGTTCTGCTGTGACCTGAAAGGGATTGATGTTTTAGTTCCTTACTTCATTTCAGCCCTTGAAACTATCTTACCTGACAGGTAAATACATCTATTTCATGTGCTGCTACAATTTCATTTTATTTTTAGCTTCTGAATGTTCTTTGGAGGTGCTTCCTAGGAGGTGTTTCCAGAGAAACATGAGTACTGCTTGTGGAATAATGCCTCTTTCCTTCCACCTTCCTCTTGCTGCCTCTTCTGAGAGTTCTTGGGAACAGTGTCAGATATTGGGGGGGGGGCTGCATCTGGAGAAGTAACTCTGCAGAAATTGTGAAAAACTGCTACCTCTTGAATACACTGAAATGCCTTTTGCTGGCACAATAGTTGCGGGTGGGAGACAAATCTGCCCCATAGATGAACTTGGCTCTTTGCTAACTGCTGCAGGGCTTTAAAATGGGAAGGAAGGATTATTATTTCATGGGTCCTTTTATCTTAATGTAATACAGCATATAAGTAATGTTGTATGAGTGTTTGCTAGGAATTAGAGGTGCATTTGCATTGTTCACGTGTTTTTATTATGTCCCACTGAAAATAATGTTTGAAAAAAATCCATAGTATTGAAAAGTCTAACTAATATGCTTTTGTTTAGGCACCAGCTATTGAAGCTTATTAGTGCTAATCTGAAACAGAACTACATGACCATTATGGCTTGGATCCTTGGAAGATTTCTGTGGGTGGGGGGGGAGGCAACTTTCCATGATTTCTCCCTCCTACTGTAGACCTCCAACTTCTCTCCTCTGCTATTATGGGGATCCTCTTTCCTCAAAAGCAGCATTTGGAGGAGCATTTTGGACTGTAGTGGGATGAGGCGATGGAAGTCCCATTCCTTGCATAGCAATCCCTTCCACAGACAGAAATCTCTAGTGGAACCAAGCCTGTTTCTCGCGTACCCTTTTATGCTAAATTAAGAGCACAGCAGTTTGAAAGCAAGAAATTGCAAGTAGATAAATAGGGACCACTTCGGTGGGAAGGTAACAGTGTTCCATGCGCCTCGGCGTTTAGTCATGCCGGCCACATGACCACAGAAATGTCTTTGGACAGCGCAGGCTCTTCGGCTTTGAAACGGAGATGAGCACCGCAACCCTAGAGCGTACCGGATTCGCTTCAAAGTGCTGGTTCTTACCTTTAAAGCCCTACATGGTCGGGGTCCAGCATACCTAAGGGTCCGCCTTTCCCCATATGTTCCCCCACGGCAGTATGGTTGGGTGCGAAACATCTCCTGGCAATACCAGGCCCGAAGGAGGCCAGGCTGGCCATTACCAGGGCCAGGGCTTTTTCGGTGGCGGCTCCTACCTGGTGGAACGAGCTCCCGGAGGAGATCAGGGCCCTGCGGGACCTAATGCAGTTCCGCAGGGCCTGCAAGACGGAGCTCTTCC